GCCCAAATTAATTATTGCAAATTTTAAGTAATTATACAAAGAATATAACTGATTACAAGACTTATAATTAATTATATAATTAGATATAACTAATTATAAATCTCGAAAAATAATCTTCTCATATTTTTTTGAGAAAAAAATTTTCATGTTTTTAATCAATTGTTTTAATTTGGAAGTGATTATATTCACATTTCCAAAAAATCACATTTCATGGATCAAGCCTACAATAATTTTAGCTTGGCTTCCCTAAACATAGAATTGGGAAAACAACCCGATATGTATTTCATTTAGTTATTATCCAGAGATAATGATGAACAACTAGTAAGCTAAATATAGCTAATTGACTTGACTTTTGTCAAATCAATCAATTTTTAATGCTTTAACTAAAATTACAGACTTATGGGTACATTTAATTTACATTGAGTTAGTAAATACTTAGAAAAGTCACCAATTATTGAAGTGTTAGATTGGATAAGGAAATGTAAAATTTTGACACAATTTCAATCTAAAATAAAATTGGTTATAAATGCTTTAAAATCAAATCAATATAACTAGTTATATTTCAAATATAATCGATTATTTATTTTGAAAGGAAATCTTTTAAGATATTTGAGCAGAAAACATTTTTGGACACCATAAATGGTTATATAGTCTTATAACTGCTTATCACATACTTGATTTTATAACTAGTTTATAAACACAATTCCGGAAATATAGGCACACAAACTTGGCTTTTCAAGAAGGCAGAACCCCCAAATTTATCCTTAAAAAAGGTGGGCAAAAATAGACGCATCCCTCAAAAATAGATGCATCCCTAAAAAAAATACAGAGACAAATTGTCCTTTCAAATTATAAATTAAGTTAAATCGCTCATTTTTTAACGGATTATGTTTGTCACGTAAGTATTTTTTAATGAAAAGTTAACAAAATCCTTAAAAATGAGTAATTTATCTTGATTTATAATTTAAAAATATAATTTGTTCTTAAATTTTTTGAGAGGTGAAATTATCTCTATCGACCTTTTTTAGGAGTGGATTTTGGGATTTTGCCTTTCAAAAGATTTTTTCCTGAAAAAGTTATAAACCAAATATGCACTAAATCTAAATATTGCAATCTTAAACCCTAAAAATCTTTGTAATAATAAGCGTTAGAACTTAAAATTATAAAATTATAAATTTTAATTTTTAACTTTTACATTTAAATTAGGGTTTTTATGAGGCAAAAATATGGGATAAGGACTTGAACTTGAACAAAATTTCGAATTTAAGACTCAAACTTCAATTGTGCTTATTTAAGGTTTCAAACTTTACGAAATTCTCAAATAAGGTCCTAATTGGAAGGAAAATTAACTTGCCATCAAATGTTAACTCACTAAGAGAGAATGAACATTAACAGAATTATAAGACATTTTTCACAATAAGTTAATTTTCCATTCAATTGGAACTTTATTTAAGAATTTTGTATAGTTTGGGATCTTAATTGAGCACAATTGAAGTTTAGGTCTGGAATTGAAAATTTTGTGCAAGTTTGGGTCTTCATCCCATACTTTTGCCTTTTTATAACTTATGTTTATTGGTGTATTTATTGCATTTTTTCTTCATTAATTTGTATGAAACAAATACTATTTTTTTTTTAACACTAATGCCACATAGATGATTTTAATTGAACGGTTGATAAAATTAAAATCAAAATTTAATTTTATCCTATAATCCTTAGCATTTTAGTACTTTAAATTTGATTATATTCTTAGTAACTTGGACCAGTTTGGTTGCTCAGAAAGTGGAATAAAAAAGAATTGAAATTGAGCTCAAAGGTGATGGAGATTATGTAGCTTATGTAGTTTATTGAGAATGAAAGCCTGGAGAAGGGAGTGGTATTGGTGAATAAAAGAGAACAAGATAGGTGACGAGCACAAAGCCATCATATTATTTCACTTGCCACTACTATCACAAGCAACCACTAATACCAAAATTCTTATATAACTAGGGCTCTAAAACCAAGTTACTCACATGCTACTCAATTTAGGCTCAATTCAATGAGTCAAGCTTGAGCTCAATTCCAAGCTCAAGTTTAAGCTCTTATGTTAGGTTCTCAAGCTACTCATGAGTAGCTCATTTAGGATAAAAAAATTAATAAAATTATTATGTAATTTAAATTTAAAAAAGCATATGACTAGGAATTTAGAGTTTCTGAATAGCATGATGGAGCAAATTGGCTATTGCAAAAAATGGAGGAAATGGTTGGGGTGCCTGTCTTCTTCTTCGATCTCTTAGTGAATGGCAACCCAACATATGAGCTTAAACTAGAGAGAGGTTTGAAACAAAGTGACCACCTATCACATTTTCTTTCTTACTAGTTGTGCAAGGCTACACAATTTGATCTTGAAAACAATGGCTAATGGCCTTTTTTGGGGTGTAGAGATTGGTTCAAGTGATTTATATATATCACATCTACAATTTCCTGATGATACACTTATTAGGGGAAAGGATAATTTGGAGTATGTGTGGGAGGTGAAAGGTATTTTGAGGTGGTTTGAGCTGAAGTTCAAATTGAACATTAATTTCAAGAATAGTAGCATCATTGGGTTAAACACTAACGGGGCATGGTTGAAGAAGGTGGTCGATTTGTTGAATTGTAAAAAAGGTTGAATACCATTTTTGTATTTAAGAATTTCAGTTGGGGATGACCCAAGGAAGAGAAAGATGTGGATTCCAATTATTAAAAAGATTGAAAGAAAGTTATTAGGGAGGCAAGCAAGCTCCTAAGGTGGTCGAGTTATCCTTTTGAATTTGATATTATCTTCTATCCTTTTGTACTACTTGTCTGTATTTAAAATGCATGTTTGTGTGTTCAAATTTATTAAGAAATTTCAAAAAGAAATTTAATAGGGGTTTTCAGAGAGGGTTGTGGAAAATTATATCAAGTAAGTTGGGAAATAGTGTATCTAAAAAAAAAAAAAAGGAAATGTGGTCTAGAAATTCCTAATCTTAGATAAAGGAATTTAACTCTCTTAGGGAAATGGTGGGCAAGATTTAGTCGAAGGGCCTTTGGAACAAGGTGTTGGTTAAGACGTATTATGGTGAAAGGAAGGAATGGGAGATGTGTAACATTAGGAGGGTCTCAAAAATCTAGGTTGATATCTTATTAGTAATGGAACCAAGGGAGGAGGATGGTGATGGTTTTAGGAGGGATATAGAAAAGTGAAACATTATTTTGGAATGATGTGTGAAAAGGTGGTAATGCATTAGGAGATGCATGCCTAAGGTTAAAAAATAAAACTTATTAAGAGATAGGAATGTTAGTGTTGGGTTTAAGAGACTGCAGCAAAAGCTAAAAAAAATTAAAAATTTTCCTCTTTCTACCCACCTAAGATCCTTATGACATTCAATGATGGTTAAGGAAGGTTCATGATCAATACCTCTAAGAGATATGCCTCGTTAATGTGTAAGTCTAACCATTGTCCTCCAAAGAAGCCTCCAAGAGTCCAAGTGTAAAACTCCTCTAACAGTGATCCACACGTGTGTTTTGGGATTTGAAGACGACTAGATCTCCAAAAGTGCTAGCAAATGAAACCTAGCTGAGCCACTTTTTTCTTTGTAAAGAATGATTTTAGTGATCTAAAATTCTAACAATGTAAAAAGCAAAGAGATTATGTTTGTTTTCTACATCTACTTATATTAATAGAAAACATGAAGCTTGCTATTCCAATCACTGTTTTCAAACTCGGCCCGGCCCAGTTGGTTCAATCGATTGAACTGGGCTTGATTCTAAAAATGGGCTAGGTGATGATATTTACCCGTTTAAGGTCAAACCCAATCAAAACCCATTCAAACCAGGTCAAACCCACTTAGACCTAATCAAACTCATTCAGACCTGGTCAACTCGGTAGACTTGACTGGTTCAACTTTTTCTCTTTTTACATTTTCACTTTTTTTCATTTTTCTTTAATTTTTATATTTATATTTATTTAATTAATAGATAATATAATAATTAAATTGTAAAATCTATTTAAAATCAAATCACAATTAATGAATAAAAATTTTTAAATTAATTTAAATGTAATTTGAAATTAAATTACTATTTCAAATTATAAAGTGATTTTAATTTAAAATAAATCAATTTGATTTTAAAAATAAAATAAATAACTACTTTATATAATGAAATTGATAAAATCAATTTAAAATTAAAATTAATCTTAAGTAATTTTAGAAATAAAATCAATCACTATTTTAGATAATAAAATGAATGAAATCTTTTTAAAATTAAAATTAAATAAAATTAATTTAAAATTAAATTAATCTTAAGCAATTTTAGAACAAATCAATATAAGCAAAAGATAATTTTATAATTAATATGATATCAATATTTTAGATGCCTATTAAAGAAAAATAAATTATGTATTTTAATAAATTTAATGAATAA